GATGGGGACAGAATGCAGCCACACGAAGAAGAGGAAATTGTATTAGAAAAAGTTGCCAGGATTGGGAGACCAGTAGAGCGAAGAAGAAGAAGAAGGGCGAGGTAGGAAAAGCACCGAGCAAAGAGGAACGCCCTACCCAGCCCTACCCAGCCCTACCCAGAGCAGAGCCTGGCAACAGGCAGGAGCCCTGGGCGTGGGCCCTGGGACAGCGGGGCTGGCTGGGGCTGGCCGCAGTCGCTCCTGAGTCCCAAAGACTGAAAACCACGGGGAAGGGGGGCCTGTAGCTGGGACTACAGGTGCAGGTGCGTTGGCCAGGATCATTCCGATTTTTAGTGGAGACAGCTTTCTCCTACATACAGAATATATAGTTTTAAAATTTACCATGCATATTGTACCAAATTCATTGAAGATGACTTACTTCCATGAAAACAATGATAATACACACATCCCCACACCAAAAAAAGCTACAGCAAGATATTTATTACAACATTCTCTAGGTTCAAACCCTCCAAAGGCTTTCGACATTTACTGCGGTATTCTGAACAAATGGAAGTTCTAATGTAGTGCCCTTTGATAATTAAAAATATGCATAAAAAGTTAGAATTCAATGGTTTTTTCTCTACAAACATGAGTGTGAATGTTTCTGATTGTTTCCCTCAATTCAAGTCTATTAAAAAAAATTTCTGGACTTCCTCTTTCCTCATGTACATTTTTAACCCCTGCAGTGCTGATGTTCAAATATCGAACAAAAACATTTCTATACCAGTGGATACCGGGAGAGTACATTCATATGCCTTAATTTAATTTTATCTTTGTAACAGCTTTCTAGGGTAGGAAGTTTAGGTCTTTTGCCATCATTACGTTTATTTTTCACATGAGAAGACTGAGCCCCGGGTAGAGTGCAGGGGCGTCACCATAGCTAACTGCAACCTCAAACTCCTGGGCTCAAGAGATCCTCCTGCCTCAGCCTCCCACACAGCTGGGACTACAGTGCAGGTGCCTTGGCCAGGCTAACTTCTATTTTTAGTAGAGACGGCATCTCAGGCTGGTCTCAAACTCCTGAGCTCAAAGCAATCCTCCTACCCAGAATGCCAGGATTACAGGCGTGAGCCACCATGCTCGGCTGAGAAGACTGAGTCTGAAAGAGCTATCCAGACCCCTTCATTGTCCTACAATTGGTATAAGAGACGGATCTCAAACCCAGGAATTGTGACTCTTAACCCATGCTACTTGCTCATTCAACACCTCTGATCACATGGGTGGAGTTGATCTCCGTGCGAGTTAATGATACAATGGAAACAGCTTCACCCAGGAGGAGAGACGTGCGACACTGGAAAAGTCTCAAGGTCAAAAGGGACATAAAAGGTCATACAAGTGAGTGATTCTCGAACCCCACTGAGTATCAGAACCACCTGGGGAGAATGAAGTACACAGGTTGTTGGACTCACCCTGGGATGCCGATTCCTCGTGGCTGGGATTTGGTTGAAGGGACATGTACGCATAAAAAGTCTTCTGACATTTGAACATTGACTTGATATTTGACGATTTTAAGGAACTGTTCATTTTCAAGGAATGACAATATTAGGAAAATATGTATTTTTGAGTCTTTATCTTCTAAAGATAGATCTGCAACACCTACTAATGAGATTACGTAAAGTCTGATTTTCATTTTAATATAATCCAGGTGCAGGGGAAGAGGGAAGAGGATGAGTGGAACAGGCCCTGACAACAGCTGCAGCTGGGTGACTTGTGACGACAGCTGACGTGCGTGTGGAGGGCAGGGTCTCGCGGGGCCTTCTCTCCCGCCGGCTCCGCTGCACACGTCTCCATCCGCAAAGTTACTACCAGACGCGCAGCGAGTCGGGATGACCGATCTCATCCGAGCACGTGACCAGCCTACACAGCTTCCCGTGACCTGTGGCGCTTGCGCTCACCCATCACCGAGCTGCAGCGGCGCGGAAGCGCGGAAATGGGTCTGCCAAGGGAAGCTGAGTCCCCAGCGTGCACTTTCCTCTTCCACGGCGTCCCCGACCCAAACCCGAGACATGGTTTCGGGTCCGCTCTCCAGCCTGTTCTCTTCCCTTCCTTACGGGGACGTTCTTTTGCAGGTATCTTCTCACTTCCTGTCTCGGGTCACCTTTAACATTTCCTTTTTGACCGTCACCCTGTCGTGCCACCACGATCTACTCCGGTATGGATTTACTTCCGCTCACCCGGCTTGACATTTGAAAGCACTTTGAATCTGAAGACTCCCGTGTTTCTCACATTCTGGAACATTCCTGGCTATTATTTCTTGAACTTCTCTGCCTCTCCCTCTATTTCCCTGGAATTCTCAGCCTATCCCCCTTGTCCCTTAAGGTCTCTTATTTTTTAAAGATATTTTTTCTTTCCATTCTGCTTTCCACCTGCATTTCTCTTCTTTCTATTGCTTTTTTTTAATACCAATCACTATACTTCGTCATTTCGAGGATTTCTAGTTGGTTCTTCTTTTTATATGTTCTTGTTTTATTTCTTCCAGTTTTTATTTTATAATTTATCCCTTTTAATGTATGTTATTCCTTCATATATTTCTTTTAAGGTTCTTAAACATACTTATTTTTAAAACTCTTCAGAACGTTCTACTGTTTTCATTTTGTCTGGAGTGAATTCACCCTTAGATCTCTGATCGTGATGGTCATTTGCACTGGATTTATTCACATGCATTGGAGTTTTTGTTTGTCAGCTCATCTTAGGGGGGAGATCCTTTCCTGGTCTTTCCCAGGATCTTTGCTCACACCTCCCTCTGGCTAACAGGGCCCCGACCTCGTCCATGGGGCCCTTGCCCAGGAACAAGTCCTGCTGTCATGCTTGGAGGTGCCAGATGTGGTCCCAGCTGGCTTAGCACTGTGCCTGGTCAGAAAGCAGTGTCGTTGTCACCTCTTCTCTCAGACACGTGGCTTCACACCTGCAGGCGGGAGCTGGCTGTAGCTTTCTCCTCTCTGAGTACTTTCTGTCCCCTCCACCCAGGGAGCCCAGAGCTGCGCAGGCCCTGCCTGTCTGATCCTGGGCCCCAGGAGGACTTTCCTTCAGCCCCTCCTCGCCACGGAGCATTTCCATCCCGCCACTGATCCTCAGACATGCCGTGTTGTTTCAGGCACCTTACAATTTACGCTTTCTCTCTTTATTTTTTGTCTACCATTGGGTATCTTTAGAGCAGGTGTGTGTGGGAAGATGGTACAGAGCACGCGTTTAAAACACCATCTCAACAGAAGGCCTCACACACAGTTTTTTACTTCTCAGAATTATTACCAAAGTTAACAGCACTTTCAAAATGTTTAAGTTGCACTACATTTTCAAAATCAAGCAAAAACCTTTAATGTGGTGTTTCTGATCTCCAGAGATGCTGGTGGATAAAGAAGGGATTTTGCCTTGGGGAAAGTCCTTGGATATTCCACTTTTGGGTTTTCCATGAACAACATATTTCTCAATAATTCTTTTTGTTTCTCTTATTTTTTCTGCTGGTAAAACATTTTATTAATACACTTTCCTTTCATTTGGTATGTTTTTATTTGTTAAAATTTAACGGAACTTTTATTTTAAAGTATTAGTTTTCTAGCAAAATTATATGTATTCTATATGTCAGCATATATATTATACACATAGATAATTTTCTAAAAGAAAAGGGTGTAAGGCATAGAACAGTTGATATATTTGTACCCTTTGTTCTTCTTAGATGTGTAAAGGTCCTACTCTTTTCCCTAGTGCTTTCTATACTATAGAGCCTATGGAAATCGGGGAGGGGACCAGGTTTACTACATTTGGTTCATCTTAGCACCTGGTTCTCGTAATGCCTCCTAAACTCCTTCTGCCTTCCATCAACGACAGCTAGATGGTAGAGACACATTCATGTTGTTTAGTAGATCGAGATCTCTGTGCTAGGAATGAGGGAAGCACACCTCTTCCTTCTTCTAGGCCTGTTGTTTGGAACCATACCTTTCACTCACAAGAGAAAAGGCGAAAAGCTGGATGGAAAACTCCCAAGGCCTCCCAGCCGTGCACTCTCTACCCTTGTAAAGACCACTGCCTCGAGTGGAGTCTGCAACCCAGACAGCTGGGCGTGTGCGGCACGGCCACCTGCAGTCTGGTCAGGGGGCATCTCTCCAACACCCGCCATGTACTCACTGTGCTCGGCGCTGGAAGTGGGAGACAGAATCAGACACCATTCAGATGGGTCCCCAACATCACGTAGCCCAGACCTAGTGAGGAAAAGAGGCACGCTCAGAATTTTAAGTCAAAACTAAATTCAAGGAAGGAACTAAAAGTGCCACTTCTGAGGGATTACAGAAATTTGGGGAGATGACTTCAAGAGAAGCAACAGTACGGCTAGTTGATGAGTGTTCTAAGCGAGAAACGGAAACCGAGGAAACAGGGCACGAGACCAAGACAGTTTGCTAGGTAAGAATACTTCCAGAGCGACACGCAGGGGTGTCTCTGAGGACGCAGGAGGGATGATGCCTGGGAGGAAGGACAAGGAGGAGGGAAGGGAAGACAGGGAAGAGGCACCTCACAGTTTTACTTAGGTCCTGATGTTCTCTAATGATTCTCAGCATATATATGATCCACGTTTCTACTTATCCTTAACACGTGCTGAATACAAATAAGTTAATATGGAGCAATTCTCTAACACATTTAAAGGTAACTAGCCAATGTTTACAAGGTGTAATCCTCCTCTAATGCCTTCCACAAGAAAAAAGGCTTCCTTTCTTTTCCTTCAGTGCAAATATGCTGTTTTGTATTGAAGACTTAACTTTCTCATTCCCTCAGCACCACCGTAGGTTATCGAAGGCCAGAGAATACATTTAACCGTAGATGTCTTTTCGGGTGGGTACATTTTTTAAAAAATAAGTAAGATTAAATTCCTATTTTAAGGGCTGTTTATATCACTATTTTCTCTGTAAGAATTCACTTCCTGGAAATTATATTAGGTAACCTAAAATTTGACCAAATATCAGGAACATGGGACTGTGATGAAGAAAGTAGAACTGAAAGATACAATTCTCCATTTTCACATAAAGTAGCACATACCCTACTTATGGAGACTTAATCCTCCGGACTTTGTCTTTTGTGTTGGTTTGTATAAAAAACTAAATTAACAACACTGACCTTTTTAGCCATGGGTTAGGCAAAGGAGAGTTTGGTTATTTAACTTTCTAGATTAAC